TTCACCCACTTTCCTCCCCAGCCCCTCCTTCACTCCACTGAGATCAGACACTTGGAAAAGCTTTCTAAAATAGCTTTTGCCTCTTGATGTTGCTACTGGGTGAACCCTTGTGCAGGAGTTTCAACCCCCGCAAATGAGTCTGGGTTGTGCAAAGGCTTGAGAGCCGGGAATCCTTCTCTTGTGCCCATGAAGAGCTGGACATGAGATACAGGAGAGGAAATCCCCTCATTCCCACTCAAAATACATCCCCAAATACTTTCGTGTACTGGATTCCACCCACTGGCCAAGGCTGCCCACCTTGGCCACGTGAAGTAATAGTGAAAGACAGAGAGATGAGATCCTGAGCAGCTCAACCAAAAAAAATTCCCAAATTCATCTACGTGAGCAAAAAGTGCAGGAGCTCAATCCAAAAGGAGGAGTTTAAGTGGATCGGCTGCGTCTCAGAGCTTGTTTGTGTTGATGTGTTTCCAACCACTGCTTTTTTTCTGTCTGGGAACTTGAAAGAGCCTGAGCAGGAGGAGTTTGGTTTGGTTTGGTTGGGTTGGGTTTGCTTTGGTTGGGTTTTGTCTCCTCGCAATCAGAAAGCAGCAGCGCTCCCAACTCCCATCTCCTCGGAGCGCTCCCGATTCCGATAGTGAGTCACCGCGGACGCGATGGGAGCCGAGCCCCAATGGGCTGATCCAAAACCCCTCCCGCGACTGGGAGGCGGCTGGGCTGTAGCAAGGGGGTGCTCTCACCCCGGGAGTGGAGATGTGGGAATATCCTGCTGGAAACTCAGCATTTTGCTGGGAAAACTTCACCCCTCACTCCACCCAAACCCAGCGGCTCCTGATTTCACAGCGGCAACAACCTCAGCCACGAGACCTCTGGGTGCTGAAAATAACAGTGAAAATAGGTAAACTCTGCTTCAAGCATGGCAGATCCATGGAGATTTGCTTTCCTATGCCTGCCTATGTGAACTGGCACAACTGTGCCAGGAGCCTGCGGAAGGGGGCCAGGCACGGAACTTGCCTTTGACTCCCAAATTGCTTATGCAAAGTCACACCTGGGAACAGGAGCACAGGTTTTAATTAAAGCAGAGGGAAAGGATTCATGTGGAAGGGAATCATTACTTCCCCAGCTCTTCTAGGAAAGCCTGTTGCTGCAGACAATGACAATTAAGTTGACTATTACAAAGGATTTGGAAGAGCAAAGCAAAGGATGGTTTAGGCACCAAAACAAGGAAAATTCTTATGGAACCCCTCGGTCCCTCACACTTTCCTTTCTCGGTTGGTGTCACTCCCATGCCCTGGTGCCCCACTGAAGGTGCTCAGGGCTGCAGGGGGGCTGTGCTGTCCTCTCAGGTGGGACAGTTCCCTGTGGAGAGGCAGGACATGTCACGGGGGGTTGTCTGGGGGGTGAGGGCACTGCAGAGAAAAGGGAGGAAGAACAGGGCTCCTGTCTGCCTCTGAGCTCTGATTTGCTCTTTTTTTTAGAAGGAACTAGAAAAAATGTGTTAAAAATTCTCCTTGGTTAAGGTTGGGTTGTCAAGAGCTGTGTTAAATCCTCGCACCCAACCTGTGCAATTTGGCGAGGTCAGAAATCGAGGTGACTCAGAGTTTATTTTTAACCTTCGCTGGTTTTTTGGCCTGTCTGCAACATCCTCTGGACAGCAGAGACTGAGGAGTCTTGGTGGATGACAGGCAAGGATGACATGAGCCAGAAGAGCTCATGATCAGAAGGAATGGAATTCCCAATGGAATCCTAGGATGCCTCAGGAAAAGCATGGCCAGTGAGCAGGGAGGGGATCCTGCCCCTCTGCTTGGCCCTGGTGGGGCCACATCTGGAGTTCTGTGTTCTGCTCTGGACTCTGCAGCTCCAGAAGGACAAGAAACTCCTGGAGAGGGTCCAGTGGAAGCCACAGAGGTGATGAGAGGTCTGGAGCATCTCTTTGATGAGGCAAAATGGCAGGAGCTGGGCATGGTCAGTCTGGAGAAGAGGAGGCTGAGAGGGGATCCCAACAATCATAAGAATACGCAAATATCCATTAAAATATCTCATCTGAGAGGGTTTCTCATCAATCCTTGTGAACATCTGCAAGGGGTGGAAAGAGGATGGTGTCAGACTGTTCAGTGTTGCCCAGCGACAGGACAAGGATCCCAGAATCCCCGAGGTGGGAAAAGACCTCTAGGGTCATCAAATCCCATCTGTGCCCAATCCCCACCTCATCACCAGCCCAGAGCACTGCGTGCCACATCCACTCATCCCCTGGGCACCTTTAGGAATGGCAATTCTACCATCTCCCTGGGCAGCGAGGAATCATGGCCATAAACCAGAGCACAAGAAATCCCACCCCACCGTGAAGAAGAACTTCTTTCCATGGAGGTGGCAGAGTCCTGGAAGGGCTGCCCTGACAGGGCATGGATTGTCCCTCTCTGGAGACATTCCAAGCTCACCTGGACGCCCTCCAGTGTCACCTGCTCCAGGTATCTGTGCCTTGGCAGGGGGTTGGACTGTGTGAGCTCCAGAGGGCCCTTCCAACCCCAGCTATTCTGGGGTTCTGGGACTCTGAGTCTGGCTTTGTCCCTGGATTTAATCTTTCACTGAGGCTCCTTTGATTTCCTGGGCAAAGGGGATGAGATGTTGCTGCGTTTTGGTGCACCTGGGTTTGAGCAAGGTTTTTCTGAAGCATCTCCTTTGAACTTGCCAGGACACGCTGGCATGTCTGCTCCTGCTCCTTCCCCTGCTCCTGCTCCTTCCCCTGCTCCTGCTCCTTCCCAAGTTCTGCCCGGAGTTATGCAGGGCCAGGATGTTGCAAGGTCAGGGCACAGCAAAGCATCTGAACCTTTGTAATTCAATAAGGGCTTTGCAATAATGTTTGGCTGAGGGTTTTTTCTCCACTTTGTTTTATTCTCCTTTTGCAATGACTGAATGAAATATCTGCATCAGTGGTGGTGTTGTGCTCCAGCACCCATCCCCAACCCAGATCCTCCAGATAAGGCCTCCCCAAGAGCCCTGCAGACACTTGGGCTTGCCCTGGCTTTTTAAGAAAGGAAAAATTGAATCCTGAGGTTTTGCCTGGATGCCCCAAACCCTCCCTTCCATGAAAGAAAATATTTTGGATTAACCCAAGGAAGTTAATAAATGAATGGTGATTAATTATCTTGTCACTTATGGATAAAACTCCACCCTCTTTCTCTTCTTCCTCTTCCTCCCCAAGTTTTCTCCAATTCTTGAATTTATTTTGGGACAACCAATTTCAAGATTTTCATTATAATTTAATCAGAATTTGAAAGTTTTTCCCTGGAAGTAAAGAAATTATGCCTTCAGCTCATTCTGATGAAGGTTGGAAATACTTTCTATTGCTGGTTCTGGTTTAGAATAAAAAGATAAATAAAAAAACCAAATAAATTACAATCTGGTTTTATTGGACAAGTTCCAAACAGAGAGAGGAAGGGAAACACGGAGTCGCATCACTATTATGGAAGTATAAAAAGCTGCAATTTTCTTTTTTAATGGTGCTTTCAAAAAATAAAAAGACACAGTGGAAGGCTAGAGGGGTAAATTCCGCCAGAAAAGGGGAAAATAGATTTGGGATGCTGGAGTTCCTTTGGGATCCTTGTTTCCCACACACTGGGCTGGAACCTGCGGCACTTCTCAGTTCCCCAAAGTTCTTTCCTGTGGCAGAGGAACCCACACAGAGAAGAGATGCTGGAATTCCCCCAGGAGCTGTGGACGTGGCCCTTCAGGCAGCTTTTCCAGTGTGATTTTCGCAATCTCAGACTTTCCCCACCTGCTGTGACCAAGGCCATGGGGAAAGCAAGACTTGGATGCTGGAGGATTTGGGAATTTTTGAGGACATTCCAGCAACACCTTGCATGGGACAGGACAGAAACCCCATTTAACAGCAAGCACTGCTCTTGCTTTAGAAGAACTCCTTGTGTCAGAGATTATTTAGAATTTTTAAATCCTATAATTTAGAAAAGAAGCCCTTTTTCATAGGTTCTGGATCAATCACTGGTCAATCCTCTGACAAAAACCACCCAGTTACATGTAAGGGCCACAATGGGCAAACTCATTTAAGAAGAGAAAGGGCAGGAAGGGGAGAGTGATTTGGGAAAAGCTTTTTGATAAGCTTGTGGCACATTGAATTTTCATTTGTGGGTGGAGGGATCTCAGGCTGCTACTCCAACATTAGTGCTCCAAATCCCTAGTCAGGCTCAAGTGCATGAGCTGACTCAGCAGCAAAACTTCACAATATCTGGAAGAATCATATCTTTCAAAACGTGCCTGTGAATGGAGGAAAGAGGGGTTTTCCATCTCACCAGAGTGACTCACAGTGAAGATAATTTTAAGAGGGACATTACAAGCCACTGCCTGGGATCTTTGAGTAGCCTCCAGGGGTATTTCTAGACAGCAGAAAAATAACCCAGACCTCTGATGCAGACGAGCTTGTCTTGTGAAGGAGTGAGTTGGGCTCATTCCAGCAGTGAAGGCAAATCAGGGTGAGCTAAACACACATTCCCAGCCCATCCCTGGGCTTCTGAGATGAAGAAGCCAGAACTGAGCTAAAACTTTCCCTGCTATTTGCTCTGTTTCAGCTGATGGCTGTGGGTGGCCACAATCACAAGTTGTTTGGCCTTATTAAACATAAATGGAAAACCAAACCAATTCCCCATTCAGAACAATCACTTAGGCCGATGTTTTCCTTTAACTCCAATTCCAGGGACTTGAAGAGCTCTGATTTCTGTGTGTTCCACTGCTTTTCTTGACCCAAGATCCAAATGCGTGAGAGCTACAGAGCAGGAGCAGGGCAGGGGCAGCTGGAAGGGTGGAGGTGGGGGAGAATGGTGGGCAGGAGGAACAGAGGAGGGTCTGGGCTTGGCTTTACTCAGGCTCTGTGGCATTCTTCAGGCTCTGGCTTTTTATGCTCTTTTTGCTGGAGGAGGTTTTGGAGACAATTTTCACACCTGGGTTGGTGCCTTTTGCACTTCCAGAGCTGAAATTCCCTCCACTGGTGCTCAGGGCGCTGCTGCCACCCCCGGCATGGCTGTAGCTGCCAGCAGTGCCCAAACCACTCCCTCCTCCAAATCCACCTCCAAGACCACCTCCAGCCCCAAGTCCGAGTCCTCCTCCACTTCCAAAACTGTAGCTTCCTCCTCCTCCTCCTCCACCGCCAGCTCCAAGACCGAAACTGCTCCCGCCGCCTCCTCCAAGGCCAAAGCCATTTCCAACACCTCCTCCGAGACCAAAGCTGCTTCCACCACCTCCTCCAAGGCCAAAACCACTTCCGCCGCCTCCTCCACTCAGGCTCAGTCCACCAAATCCTCCTCCTAAGCCAGCTCCACCAGAAATGCCGGAGGTGGAGCTGATGACCGCTGCAAGGAAAGGCAATCAGAGGGTTGGACATCTGCTTGGCAGCCATGGAATCATGGGATGGGCTGGGCCAGAAGGGACCATAAAAGTCATCCCATCTCTGCCCCTGCCATGTGCAGGGACTCCTTCCATTATCCCAGGTTGCTCCCCCACACCTGTCCAACCTGGCCTTGGACACTTCCAGGGAAGGGGCAGCTACAGCTTCTCTGGGAAGTCACCCAATTCCAGGAAGCACCACCATCAGGGCCTTGACCCACAGGACTTGAACCCAACTTTTGTCCCCTGCACAAACCCATAATGACAGGGGAGGGCTCCAAAGGTCTTATGTGGGGCAAAATTTCCCTTTCCCCACAGTTTCTCCCAGGCCTTGCTCCCAAAGCCAGACTTTGGGATCCAGAACTGTGGTACTTACAGTAGCTGATGGGGTTCAGTCCCTCCCCACTGAGCCTGTTGGGGGATTAGAGAAGATTAGAGCAAAATTATGGATAGAGGCAGAGGAACTGATCTCTGATGGGAAAAGTGACAGTCACTATTAATCCCCACAAAGATTTTGCTCCCACCTGCTCTCCTCGCCCTCCAGCAGCTTCCTGTAGGTCGCGATCTCAATGTCCAGGGCCAGCTTGACGTTCATGAGCTCTTGGTACTCCCGGAGCTGCCGGGCCATGTCAGCCTTGGCTTTCTGCAGGGCGTCTTCCAGGTCAATCATCTTTGCCTTGGCGTCCTTGAGGGCCATCTCCCCGCGCTCCTCTGAGTCTCCAATGGCCGTTTGCAGGGTGGCACACTGCAAGGGATGGGGGGCCTTGGAAAGCTGCTCTTGGCTTTGGGTGAGAGTCACCCAAGGAAGAAACCTTGGGTGTGATGTTCTTGGAAAATGTTCCAGCTGAGCTAACACGGCTGGAGTTGAAATGCCAGGCTGGCAAGAACGACTCAATAGTTAAATTTTACAGAGTGAAGCCCTTTCCAGGCGGGAATTAACACCTTTAATGAGGCTGGAAAAGTCCCTGATCAGCAAACCTGAGTTGTGGTGTTGAGGGACAACAGAATGGGGCTCTGTTGGCTCCTTTTGCCATTCCTACCTGGTTCCTCGTGTTCTCTATCTCAGAGCGGATCCTCTGGATGAGCCGGTTGAGCTCTGAGATTTCACCCTTCGTGTTGCGCAGGTCATCACCGTGTTTCCCAGCCGTGGCCTGCAGCTCCTCAAACTGAGGTGGGAAGGAAGATGTAACCTGAACCATCTGAGGAGTCTGGCTGGAGGAGACAAGGCTCAAACAGCCCCTCTTAGGGGCAGCAGGGATTTCGTGTGGCAGTGATGGGTCAGCTCACCTTGGTTTGGTACCAAGCCTCGGCCTCGGCGCGGCTCCGGTTGGCGATGTCCTCGTACTGAGCTTTGACGTCGGCAATGATGCTGCTCAGGTCCAGGTCCCGGTTGTTGTCCATGGACAGGATGACAGCAGTGTCGGACACTTGGGCGCTGAGCTGGGCCAGCTCCTGTGGGAAGCACGTGGGAGCTGCACTTACCTCTCCCAACCCTCAGAGTGGTGGCATTCCCCAGCCAAGAACAACGGCAGGGCAGGAGTCGGGGATTTGTCTGTACCGCCTCGTAGAGGGCTCGAAGGAAGTTGAGTTCATCACTCAGGGCGTCCACCTTGGCCTCCAGCTCCACCTTGTTCATGTAAGCAGCATCCACGTCCTGGAAAAGAGCAGCTGTGGGGACACCTGTGGCACCTGGATCCTCTTCTCAGCCAGAAAGAATTTCCTAGCCACAGTCAAGAGACAGCCAAGCCTGGAGACCAGGCTGCCCTTTCCCTGCCGCCTGGTAGAGAAGCTGTGCTTGGCACATCCCACTGGAAGAGCACCAAGACGGCATCTCTTGCCCCAAAAAAGTGCTGTGTGTAATTTGGAAGTGGATAAGGAGGGAGGTCCTGGCTCTTTGGCCTTGGTACCTGGTATTCCCAGGCATGACTGACCCGCTTTGTCCCTACATGGTCTGTTTTGCACCTCTGTGTGTTGTGGGACCAGTGTGGGAGGAGATTTTGCTTCCTTCCTACAAGCCACTCCATTCCTTTCCCACAATACCATGAACAAATGGTGAATAAAAACCCTTCTAAAGGATGAGGATGCAGCTCCATGAGATGTCCCATCCCTCAGGATATTCCCAGTTTGTGCAACGGTTGGGGCTGGCTCAGCATCTGCAGCACCTCCTGTCTCACCCACCTTCTTGAGCACCACAAATTCGTTCTCTGCTGCTGTGCGTCGGTTGATTTCCTCTTCATATCTACAGAGATAAGGGGAAAGAAGTGCTGGATCAGACAGCAAGAAGCAGAACAGGTGTCCAGGTAGGACTGCAAAGTGATTTGGACTGGGGGTGGCATCTCCAAATCAGCCTCCTGGAAATTGTCCAGCTCCAATGTGTGAGATTCCCCTTTCTCAGAAGGCTGAAAGGATATTTTTGACCTAATGCAGATGTAACAAGGAAGGTAAAGCTGGTTTAGAGGATTTTCCTTTGCAAGAGCCATCCCAAGGTGCTGTGTCCTGGCTGAATCTCCATTTTTTGATGGGAAAAATGTCGATGGACCCTTTTTGGTGCTTTTGAGGAAAATGGGTCCTGCAGGGAGAGATAGGGGGTATTGGAGGTGATTAGAGATGTTTTATGTTATGGGTTGGAGCACAAACTGGAGACACTTTTTCCCCTTTCCTAGAGAAATTTCCATTAATATTTCAGTCTGGATGTTTGACTTTCAGAAATTGAAATTTTTGACATGAATCATAAAACCATGGAATTACAGAATCATAGAACCATAGAATCAGCTGAGTTGGAAGGGACCCATGAGGATCCTTGAGTCCAACTCCTGGCCCTGCACAGGACACCCCACCAACGCCACCCTGTGCCTGAGAGCATTGTCCAAACCCTTCTGGAGCTCTGGTAGCCATGGGACCGTGACCAGTCCCTGGGGAGCCTGTTCAGTGCCTGACCACCCTCTGGGTGAAAACTCCTGCTGCTCAATGCTCAGCTGAACCATGTACAGCCCATTTCACACTCACTTGTTTTTGAAGTCCTCCACGAGGTCCTGCATGTTCTTCAGCTCCCCGTCCATGCGTCCCCGCTCATTGAGCAGGTTGGCCAGCTGCCGCCGCAGGTTGTTGATGTAGGCCTCGAACAGCGGGTCCAGGTTGCTCTTGCCAGAATTGTTTTTTTGGCCCTGCTCCTGCAGAAGGGTCCATTTGGTCTCCAGCACCTTGTTCTGCTGCTCCAGGAAGCGAACCTGAGCGTTGAGAGGCAGAAGAGGCTTAGGCAGAAGATACCTGTGAGCTGACAGCCAATATTCAACGCTGGCAGTGATGCATGGCAGGAGCCAAGGGATTCCCGAACTAAGAGTTTCCAGACTGAGAATATCCTCTAGATTATCCAGGGCTATGTTAGCCAACCTGTAGCTGAGCAAATCCACCCTTAGTGGACAGTTCTCTTCAGAGGCAATTTGGTTTAGGAAGCCAACAAGCAATGGTAAGAAAATTTGGGTTCAGGTATTTCTTCATCAGACTGTGAAGTTCTTCTTTCACACCCTCTGGGGTTTCTTTCTTTGTAAGATACATATCTTTCTTCATTAAAGACAAGGTCTGAGTACTAATGCTAAAATTGCTTAATTGCCCTTCCTTTTGCTCACACTTACAACATATTTATCCAATTAAAAGCTGAGGAAGGACTTGAGTGGTTGAGTCAATTGAGTCAATACAAAAAGGATTTTATCTTGCAGGCAATAAACAACAAAGAGTGAGACATCTGCTGTGATTGCCCAGAGAGTGAGTTGTGTTGAGCCACTAGACCTGGACCCGAAAGTGACTTATGCCATTTCAACTAATCTGTGTTTTTTCTCAGGCACAAAACCTGGATCTAATCCTATTACTACAATTTTCTTGTCTTATTTTCTGCCTTGTCAATGTTCAGAAGGACATTATTGTTTGAGAGACTTAACCAAGACATGCAGAGAGGAAATGTGTGAAAGACTGTAGATTTCTAAAGTCCTATTTTGGTGCCTACTAGGTACTCACTCCCCCTCTATCACAGATCAACAGCACCCAACAAAGTCTCACCTTGTCAATGAAAGAAGCAAATTTGTTGTTGAGGGTCTTGATCTGCTCCTTCTCATCTTTCCGCACCTGTTGGATGTTTGGATCTATCTCCAGGTTCAGCGGTGCCAGGAGGCTCTGGTTTACGGTCACTTCTTGGATTGTACCCACTCCAGGTGGGCCCCCAGAAAACCCCGGGGGGTTTCTGCCACCTCCCAGTCCTGCAGGGAACCCTCCCAGCCCCCCCAGCCCACCAAAGCCAAACCCTCCACCACCTCCATGACCACCACCATAGCCAAGCCCCCCAGCACCTCCACCAAAGCCAAGTCCACCACCTCCACCACCAAGCCCCAGCCCAAGGCCACTACCAGCCCCACCACCACCAAACCCACCTCCTCCACCACCAAGCCCCAGCCCAAACCCACCCCCACCTCCCAGGCCAGAGCCACCAGCAGCTCCACCTCCAAAAGCAGCTCGGAAGCTGCTTCCAACCCCGATGGAAATCCTCTTGCTACCACCAAGGTTGTAGAGGCTCCTGCTGCCAAAACCTCCACCACCGCCAAAACTGCTGCCACCACCTCCTCCAATGAGCTTCCCAAAGCCTCCTCCTCCTCCTCCTCCTCGTGCCACAGACACAGAGCTGAAGCCAGCCCTGTTGCTGCTTGGAATTATGGCCGAGGCAGCGCTGTAGGATCGGCCTCCCCCTCCTGCCCTCATGCTGAGCGCCCGGTTCATCGCGGCGGCAGAGAAGGGCCCCACACAGCCAGAGAGACTCTGCAGCTCTCTGAGGAAAGGCAATCAGGGTGCCCCTTTTATCCCCCGGGGATCTGGGCTTGGCTGCATGGAAGTCCAGTGATCAATTTAGTGCCTTCATGGTTTTGACGTGCCAGGAGGCAGCTGTCTCCCTGAGACTTGTTAAACCCTGATTGCACCCAAACGCGCCTCCTGGGGCTGGATCTGCTCAGCTGGAAGAGTTATCTAACACCCAGATTTCTATCTCCTCACAGAGATGGGTTATTGCATTTTGTATTATTTGCTTAACGCTGGAGGTGTCCAAGGCCAGGTTGTGAGGGCTTGGAGCAACCTGGGTTAATGCAAGGTGTCCCTGCCTGTGGGGGGGATGGAATGAGATGGTCTTTGAGATTCCTTCCAACTCAAACCATTCTGGGATTCCATGATTCTATAATTTCCTTACTGTGAAAAAAAAAAATTAGAATGTTATAAAGCCAGAAATAATGTCTTTGATTCACAATTCTGCTTAAAGGATGCAGCACATCAACACAGAGGTCAGTGGAGAGTCCTCTGGACTAACTCAAGTGAAAGACAGTGAGAACAAAATGGTTAAATCTGAACAAAAATAATTCCTGGGGTTTCTTCACCTGAAGGCAGAAGGAGGCTTGATGTTCATGAAACCTGACACCCCTTTTGGGGCACTAATTTATCCAGTTTGCTGTTCCTACTCCCTGGGCAGGGACCATCTCTTTGGGATGACTTGACAAAGAGGTCCTGATCAAGTTTTCCTCTTTCTCCTTTCCAGATGTAAATACCACCTCAAATTTGGCCCAATTATATTAATTATTTAGCCTATGGCAGGCTTTCTAGGCTATTCCTCTGGATATTTGCATTTCCAGAGGACAACTCCATTCCATGCAGAGGCTGTGTTGTGATTTCTCCAGTTAGCTGATGATGTGATTGATGCATTTTCATCTTGGCTAAAAACATTTTCAAAAAAAGAGGCAGATTTTCTGAAAAACTCTCTGCCCATCTCTGTGGAATGATGTCACTTTCCCACTTTAGGATGCAGTTAGTCCTGAGTTTCTGGCTCTCTCTAGCTCTGATTTCTTTTAAAGACCTTAGAACATTCCATCCAAAATGCTGCCAGAAGCAGATTTAACCAGCATGAAAAATACTCCCACAAATCCTCCTTATTTTACTTCCCGGAGTCCTTGGGAAAAAAGATACATTCAACAGGGTGTGGTGACATTTTCTGGTATCTCAGACTCTGTGGAACTGCAGTGTTGAGAGTATTTTATCCCTTGCATGTCAGAGCTCAGCTGTTCTTTGGCATGAGGCTGCCCTGGTGGCTTTACCTGAATTCTGCAGGACTGGAGCTGAAATATATTTACAGGACAGGACTCTACTTGCCTTTCAAAACACATCCCTGTGCCCCAGAGCTACAAAACCATTAAGGTGCTAAAATCCCACTGGCATCTCTGGAAGAACACCTAAACAGGTGCTACTGAATACAGAAGACCAAATATCTGATTATTCCTGGAGAAATGTTGTTGGGCAGGCTCAAATGGAGAGCTGGGGCACTGAATGAGAATTTCCCTTTGCAGTGAGAAATTATTTCAAGATGGTGCAGGTCAGCTTGTTTCTTTTTGGAAAATGTGGGTCTGAACCTGGAATGTCACTTGAAATTCATGAGCATCCATTGCCTCCGTGATTTGCATAAAATTCAAAGCCAGGGTGCGATGGGAAAATGAGATTTTGTCTTCATGGTTCCTTGACCCCAGTAAAGGCAGCTTGTCTTGAAGCTGAAGAACGGGTTCAGATCAGATGTTGGAGCTGAATGAATGTAATGGGATTAAAGGTGGGGCTGCCAAGAAGAAAGAAGGAATTGTCACTTCAGGCTCCCACACTCTTCTCCCCTCGGCTCGTTATCCACAGGGTATGTGAGAGACACAAAGGCCACCTGAAAAATGCTCCTTTCCCTCCTGGGCTGCTTGGTGGTGTGCAGGAGCCAAGGGCTGGGGCTCCAAACCCAGAGGCAGATGTGGCATTTTCATGTCTGTTTGCACCAACTCTGCCAGGCGCTGGGCTCAAGCTGAGAGAGGGAAAGTCAAAGCTAAATATAGGGAAGAAATTCCTCCCTGTGAGGGCGGGGAGACCCTGCAGTGGATTTCCCAGAGAAGCTCTGGTTGCCCCATCCCTCAAAGGGTCCAAGGCCAGGCTGGCTGAATGGGGCTTGGAGCAATCTGGGATAGTGGAAGTTGTCCCTGGCCGTGGCAGGGGGTGGAAGAAGATGCTTTATAAGATCCTTCTAACCCAACCATTCCATTAATCTATAGTTTTGGACTCTATCAATTTACAAAAGGGTCCGTCCAGATTTACACTGTGCAGGATTTGACCTCCACCCACCCCAAACCCACATTCCTGGCTTTTTTCTCTCCAAAATACCCTGATCTACGTGAGCATCTTCAAGAAGGCAGCAGCAAACATGGCTTTTGCAATAGCTGGGAGTTGAGCACAGGGATGATTAAAGGTTTTTTCCCAGAAACGCAAGAGCTGCCAGACTGCTTTTGCCCCCTGGGGAGCTGGCTGGTGTTTGGCGTTCAGGTATTGCTTTGCAGGGAGATGATCAACATAAATTATGAGCTGCTGGGGCACTGGAAGCTTCTTGTTTTGGGTGTTTCTGCTTGGTATTTACATAGAAATGAGATGGAGCCTGAGTTGTGTTCATGGAGCAGAAAAGCTGAAGACAACATTTCCAAAAACATCTTTAGCAGGGTAAGTTTTGCTTTCTCACCAAGGGCTGACCCACTTGGCTTTCACCACCCCGCAGCCAACTGTGGCATTTATTAAAACAGAATTAGTGCGCTGCTCCCTGTTGATCACATCCAATATACCACGAGGGGAGCCAGAATGCCCCATGGTGGGAGAGCAGCAGAGGCCAGAGCTCATCCCACACTGGGTTCATCCCCATCCCACCCACGAGGACAGAGTCTGGCATTGGGGCTGAGCTCATCCTCCAGCCCTGCCGAGGTCAAGGGGAAGAAGCTGTGAGTCAGCAGGGAGGTCTTGGAAGCAGGGTGGGACATGGGGGGATAAATTCCAGCCCCTGTTTCTTGGTGAGCCTTTCATGGGCACGTGAACCTGCCCGCACCCTGTGCTGCCCCAGGCTGGACACAGGGACTTCTCCAAGGGTGATCAGAGCTGGCTCAGGGGCTGTTGGCTCTGCCATGGGGAGCTGTGGGAAGGGACGAGCTGCAGGGCTGTTTTGTTTTCCTGTGATTCCAGCTGTCCATCCAGCTGGGCTGAGTTGCCACCATGGCAAGGCCCTCCCAGCCAAGTTATAGAGACCCATCAGGGGAACTGGGAGCCCTGCAGAAGTCCAGGAGCACTGGGACAACACTCAAGCATCTGGTGGGACTTTTGGGGTGTCCTGTGCAGGGCCAGGACTGGGATTTGATGATCCTTGTGGGTCCCTTCCCAGGCAGGATATTCCATGATTCTATGAACCTCATGGAGAAAAATGAGAGGATGATGTGATTTCTCCTAAATCCCAGTTTCCTAAAATTGTGAGAGTGGGTTTTCCCTCCCTGGAAGGGATGATGGAGGAGCATGTCTAGCCACATCTCCAGACCCTGCTCTTTGTGTGAATTCACATATTTTAAGGAAGGTGGCAGTTTAGGAAGAAGCCCCTGGTGCTGCATTTTGGGGAACTGCACTTTGCTCTTACCTTCTTCTAAAATCAACCCACTCTTGTGAGAGGGTTTCACAGGTGTGGTATGGGATTGCTTTCCTGTTCCTCCCTGAGCTGGTTCTCAGTCATTTCCTTAAAGAGGGACCTGGCTGCCTTTTTGTTCCATCTCCAGAGATCCCAGACATTGTGAGAGATCCCAAGCAAACTGCATACCCACAGATGGTAAATAGCCTCCTTTCCAGACATCCTTGTGGCCACACTAATCAGTGGATGGAATAAAGGTATGCAAAGGTGCTTCAGGAAAGAGAGCAGACAAAATCTTCTTGAAGCTCCAAACTCCACCCGTTTGGAGACTCAGGTTTGAGGAAATTTCTATGATTTGCAATACGAGGGAGGGAAACAAAGCCCAGGCAGTGCAGCATGAATTATGCATGGAGTTTATTGAAGGTACAGCTGAAAGTCTGGAGTAAGCGAAGGGTAATAACTCTGTTCACTTACACATGAAAAGCTTTAACTCCGTCTATTGCACACAGGAAAAACAACACATGCATGTAACTACAGAAATATAAGGTGCTCGTTGGGGTGTAATTAAAATCTGCTCTACCAAACGAAGTGTAGCAACCTGGACCAATTTGCATAAGCATTCCCAACCCTCTTGTAAACAGGAAAAATTGGATTTTCTGCTGTCATTAAAGAAGTAAATTACAGCTGCAGCTTTGTCTTGGACAATTAAATTGTGGCTTCTCTCTCTGAAGTTGGGATGACCAGATTTTTCATCCTTTTGCAATAGCTGCATTAAAAGTCTCTGCTGGAAAGGGGTCAAGCAAGGCAGGGTGACCGAAAAGCCAAGATGATGAGTGGAGACAGGGATGGTCTCTGAAATTAAAATCTCACCTGGCTGGGGAGACAGGGGGCGCAGGGAGGAGTTTCCCCCAAGAAAGACATCAGGGAGAGGGTGGGTTTTATCAGGCTAAGGGTTCAGGCAGAGCGATGTCCTAGCGCATATGGTTGTGTGATCCCTGTGGCTGTCAGAGGGAGGGGGAATACTGTTTTATTGCAGAAATGCTGGTTATTATAAAATCTGCCGTCTCGGGCCCGCCGCTCTCTACCGGCTCGTCCTGACGACGCGCACGGCTGTGCTGAACCTGTTCCCGCAGACCCCCGGCGCCCCGGGGATCAGCACGGCGCCGGGCCCGCACTGCTCCACGCCCGCGCACACCACGCTGCCCAGGCTGCCCAGGTTGCCCAGGTTGCCCATGCCGGCGGCGCACTGCACCCCGTCCACGCCGGTGAGCACCTCCCTCCCCAC